CATGTACCTCAACAAGAATGCCCTTGGTGTGTGGGCCGATGGACACAATGCCAACCTTGACCAGAAAGTCCCCCAGCTCAAAGCGCTGGCCCTTGGACTCCACCCGGGCTGATTTCCTGGGAGTGTAGAATCCTGAGAAGAAAAAAACCAAGACGATCACAGAAAACTGGTCAACGTTTCTTGTAAGGGTGTAAGTCGGTGGGGGAGTTCCGGACATTGTATCGGGTACTATTAAAGTTGCAAGATTCTGAACAACTTCCCCGCAATCTTCCCGCAATGAAGTATTCAGCATTGATGAGTGAAGTTTTATTGAAAATTTTCCTGTAACATGTCCGGGACAAATGCAGAGCTTCTTCCGGACAAAGTGAATGATTCTACCAGCAACTTGTTCGCAACTCATTCTGGATGTGAATTGAGACTGGCCCTTACTACACTGTGGTGGAGCTTGGAGGATTTCAAAGGGTTCTAGCAAATTTGCTGAGGGAGTTACAGTGTGGACAGGACAACCTAAAGTGCATAATTTAAAGATTTTCCACCATTCCTTACCCCTAACCCCCTTGAGTGATCTACTAGGAACATTCCTCACTCTTGCAAAATCCAACACCATAAGGGCAATTCCACGGTTACCCATGTTACATTTTTGATGTACTTTTGAGTTTCCTTGGGCTGTAATTACCTTACTGAAAAGGTTTAATCACTGTTATCCCCATGGCAGATAGAGTAGACCTAGACCTACCTCAGCACCAAAGGTGACATCCAGAAAAATGTGTTGTGTATGATAAACAAGACGCACAAAATCGGTTACTCACGTTACGAAAGTGTAACGTGAGCAAAACAGTTATTAAACCTTTTCAGTAAGGTACTTACAGCCCAAGGAAACTCAAAAGTACATCAAAAATGTAACGTGAGTAACCATGGAATTGCCCATAAACTCCACACCCAAACTGTTGGACTCTGATTATGGTGGTATGCCTGACCCCATGTAAAGCATAATCAGTTTACTTGTGCAGTTACTCACTCAAACAGATTCCAACAAAACATGCAGTTGGATTTTGAATGGTTGGGGTGGTTAGGGTTAACTTGTAAGCACTATTATAATTAGCTTTATCATTGCGAGTGCCTGAACAACTAAATTGTTGGTAAGAACATTGCAGCGACGTAGCTTTCGATGTCATCGCGACATCTGCATTCAGCGTAGTGACTTAAACCACTCCGGTCATGTGACCACCTTTTGGGCGATCACAAGCCAGCAGGTCATCGTAGATGGCTGGCAGCTCGTCGCCCAAAAAGTGGTCACACGACCGGAGTGGTTTAATTCACTACGCTGAATGAAGATGTCGCGATGACATCGACAGCTACGTCACTGCAATATTTTTGATTCCAAAAAGATATTGAAAAATTTCTTATCAACGTGATGGAATCCAATAGTATACAAGCTGCTAAATTGTTGGTTTCCTATTAAAAACAATGAAATCACTAAGAAGCACTGTTCCTGCTGACTCACCCTTGAGTTTCTGCATGATGCCCTCCAAGTGGTTGTCGGCAACAAGGAATGCCCCGGTGTCGGTGATGCTGAAGCATGTGAGTGGCTGCTCGCTGTTATGCATCAGGTGTACCAACTTGGTGGAATCTGAAAAAGAAACATTGTAATCGGGTAATCATAAGCCGCCACAAGTCATCTTAAGTGATCTTTATTCATTCACAAGACATCACAAGACATCACTAGTCTCTTTTAGTTAATCACAAATTACAAGTCAATCACAAGTCATTCACAATCACAAATCGAATACAAGTTATCACAAGTCAATCACAAGATATCACAAGTCTTTACAAAAAGTCAATAACAAATCAATCGCAAGTGACCTTAAATAATCTCACATCAGTCAAAATTCATCACAAGTCATCTCACACCATCACAAATGATCACAACTCAATCGCAAGTCATCACATGTCAATCAATTATAAATTATCCTACAACAACAAAAAGTCACATGATATTCCAATGGTTTTCCTTTGCAAAAAAAATTGGCCGTCCCTTGGTACTTCAGGCCTAGCATGCCTAGTCCGAAAATGTGGGACTCTCAATACTGAGTGTAAGAGTCCCAAAATTAGGGTTTTGAAAACATGCGACATTTACAAGAAAACGGACTGGCACCTGAAACAACCAGTCCAACACCACTTCATACTGCATCAATCAACTGTGCCAAAAGAAACATCTGGCAAGTCTAGCAGTACTGGTCTCTATTTCTACATATTTCTCCTTAGTCAGCCACCAGACTAATAAAGAGGTCAGTCTTTTCAAACAGTTGGACCATTTACATTTGCCAGTTTAGTCTTTGGCCTCAAATTGATATCACCTGACTTCCCTCTGAGGTGCAAAATATTTAAGAAATGTCTCATTTAAAGCCAGAGTCCATCATTTGCAGCTATCTAAAAAGTAACTGGCGTAATTTTTGTTGAAAAACATACTTGGTTGAAAGATAGTAAGGGGAGAAACTCCCTATGAAATCATTCTTTCTGGCAAGCTGTTGTTGTGAAGAAACAAAAGAAAGCCTTTCCAACGGTGCTTCTTAAGAAGCAGCGTAGGAAATTCAAATTAGTAGTTCGTTTTGTTATTCGGCGAAAGTATTGGCACGACACACACGCGCACGCGCACGCTATAATTCGTTGGATCAGTGCTCATCATCGCGTAGCTGCAATCGGCTCAGTGAGAAGTTGTCTCGGACGCTGAATTCAGGCCCGATTCAAAACATGATTCAGCAACTTTTGATTTGAAATCGAGATCCTAGAATGTTGTTTTTCTCGAAATATACAGCTGAAGCTGAGCTGAAGCTTCATCAGGTTAGTTGTTCAGCACCCTTCTTTAGATCTTGAGCACTTTTGTTGCTTCAAAGGAACAAAATGCACAAATTACAAATGATGGACTATACCTTTAAAAGTTTATTTGAGACTTCAAACTTGGTTGGTGAAATACTGAGGACCTTGTCTTTGCCTCATGAAAACTTTTGAGAATTTTGTCAGCTAAAGAGTGAGTAAAGTTGGCCTGATTTCGTTTTGCATGTTTTTCAGCGCTCAAGGTCCCAGTCTGCTTGAGACCTAACTTGTGAAGAAAAAACAAGAATGGGTGATAATGGGCTCCAGAACAAAAAAGGAAGGAAGGAACCCACTGATGATAAAGCATAAAAAGCCCAGGAGGATCACACAAATAAAATGTACATTTTCTTACTTATCGTCGGAACTGATGATTGGTACGTCTCACAGTCCACGCAGAAGTTGCCGGTCTTGACTGCTCCCAGGACCTCAATCCGCCGTGTCAGCATCTCGACAGTCTGCTGCACTGTCCTGCTCTCAGTCACTGGCCACTGACAAACACTGGAACAAAACCACGCCAGTGTTATTTGTGACAATCGTAGATTACAGTCAGTCAAGTTAGGAGGTTTTATACTTGCCATGATGGTTTGTAAGTTGAGTTTCACAAAGAAACACAGACAAGACATGTCACACTCACATTTAGTTTTAGGCAAAATGATTTCCCCATCATTCTAACACAGGAGGCAATTTTTTGCACTGACTAGACTAGCAGTAGGAGTATTCAGTCAGTATTCTGTCTGTCAGCATGTTAAGGGTTGGCGTAGCGGTCCTTTCCTCGCCTTCCACCGCTGTGACCCGGGTTCGAATCCTGCCTGGGCCAACATGTGGATTGGGTTTTCAGTCCCTGCCTGATTCCTTGTTGGGTTTTCCGCAGAATAGTCTTCTGAGGTTTTCCTCCCACCTCTACAACTGTAATTTCTCCTCATTGCCTCCTCTCATTGTCTCCTCTCAAGTGATGTCACGTGACCCATGATGACGTCATGGTGACGTAATTGCAAAAAAAACACATCTGCAGTGGATTGGTCATTCATGTATTGACAAATGAAGTTCATATATGTTTCCATTTTTCCAAACAGTTCTGGAGAAGGATTTGCTGAGAATATGCTGAGAAGAACAAAAACAGTAAATTTTTACAAAACCAATAGCCTAATAGGCATGATAGGTGTTGGGCTCATGGAAGGCTCAAGGCCCAACACCTAAATAGAATAAACAAATGACAATGAATGACAGAATACTGATTAGGCCTTGTGATTTGTTTCCATTCATGATTGATGGCTATGGTAGTGGGTACTGTGTACATATATATTTGGACAGATTCCCTATCTGGCCATCACTAATACATGTATATCAGCCATCAGCAAGTGATAATAAATATGTCCTAAAAAGTCAAATTTACTATTTAGCACTAGCCATGCTAGCACAGGGAAAATAATTTGAAGTAGGCCACTGAGAGTGAGAGTGACTGAGAAAACAGTTTTCGCAGTGGCTATTGTTATGGCAGCCGTAACACATTTCCCATTTTCTATCGTTACGGTAGACTGCAACTTTGATAAAAACATGACAAGAAAATATAAAATTAGAAGGAATTTGAACATTGAAAAAGTGAATTTGAACGTTATGAAATTCGGACTTTATTTCCCTTTAAAATAAATTCTCCAAAGCCTCAGGTTAAAAAAGGAAAAAAATTCGAGTGCAAAACTGCAAAACTGAGATTCGAACCCGCAACCTCGCGGTGCAAAATCCTACCTTCTATCGACTGAGCTGTCGCACTGCTCGCTAAACCGTGTGGAAACAAATAATTATATACCTGCCAGCGTATCAAAAAAGTATCGTAGAGGGCGCTAAACAACGACTGCCGTAACGATAGCCACTCAGTTTTTGCACAGGCAGGGTGTCAAGTGATGGCCAGATATGGGAAATATTTCCATATATCTTGCTGTCCCCCACGAAAAACATAACTATGAAGCTATTATTCTACAATATTTCACTGTAAAAATAAATTTTTAGCAAATAAACTCACCAAGTCACCCCCATATTGCGAAGTACCGAGTTTCAACCCGCTTATTTTCGATTCTTTGTGATGAAGTAAACAGCGCCCTCTGTAGTTTGATCAAACGGAACCAAAACGTGCTATACAGTGAATGATAGCGTGTAGATTAGTGTAAGATTCTGACTTACTTCTGAGGGAGATTTTTACCTTTACTACTCCAGAATGTCGGTAAGTTATTGTGTTTTAATATCAACTGTGCTTTCTGTCTATCTTCTAGATGGGATTTAGAGCATTACTGTGGAATTAGGTTGGTTTAAGACCCCCTTTTTGTGGTCGAAATTGGCGGTAGTGGCCGTGGATGGGGCACGGTGCAAAAATCGCACGTAACGAAAGCCATGTACACACATGCGTCCAACGCACGAGCCAATCGACTTAATTAGGTCTACATAAAAAAACGAAGTGGCTATCGTTACGGCAGTCGTTCTTTAGCGCCCTCTACGATACTTTTTTGATACGCACGCAGGTATATAGCCCCATAAATGTGGCCTATTTACTGGACTGCCTCCGTAAACATAGGCCACACATCCACATGTACAAAAATCGTGTCGACGGAGCCAAATTTTGATTTTCACATTTAGGCTTAGTTTGTAGGGTTTTTTGCTTTAGAAGCATACTCACCCTCTTTACAGGCTAATCAGAAAGTGCTGCCTTTTTCAGATGTCTTATTTTTGTGTCAGGTTGCAACATTTTTTTCTGGATCTTTATTCTTTGGCCAAGGCAATGTTGGCTGTATGGTCATGATGGTTAAATTCTAGCTTGAGCATGTTGAGTAACTCCAGCTCCAATGCTTATCGCATTTAGAGCTATAGAGCTACAACCATCATGACCATGACAACTAAGAGTCCCGAAATAAATTACGCAACCGTATGTCCCAAGTGAATTACAAAAATGGTCCATATGGCCATTTTGCCATATTAGCCCATCCCAGATTCCATTACACATACCTCATACCTAGTCCGAGTAACTTGGACCCAACTTATCGCCTTTTTTAACATTTGGACATGGTCTGGCGATAGACCATGTCCAAATGTTAAAAAAGGCGATAAGTTGGGTCCAAGTTACTCGGACTACCTCATACCATGCAGCAGTCATTCTCAAAGCTAATGATCGACTTGAAACAGAACAAAAGTGACTAAAATATGAGAAATATTGAAGATTACGGTGGCTTCTCTAGAAAAAAAAACGTTTTTTGTCGTTTTTTGTCGTGTGTGCATGTTGTGTACTTCTAGAATCACAGCACCTGCAGTTATGGCTGCATCATATGTGGGAAAACAAATTTCGGGGATCTGCCGAGGCTCTGATTGGTGCGCTCTTAGGCAGATCCCCGAACGCGATTTTTTCCCCGCATGATGCACCTGTGTTTATGGCCGCATCATGTGCGGGAAAAAAATCAAACAAAATGAAATCAACAATCCTTTTCCAACGTTTAAAGGGAATATACATCATTTGCTTTTGCTGTAATTTTCAGAAATGGATGGAATTGGGGGGTTGGAAATATAAAGCAAATATAGTTACACTGACTTTTTGGAGGTTTTGGGTTCGAAAATGCTATAAAAACCAAGAAAAACGATAATTTTCCTGTAGTCTGGTTCCCTGACTCCATATAAGAAGAAACAGAGCAGTTTACATACATTGGGGAATTATAAGGTCAGGGAACCAGTCTAGCTGGCTCGTACCCGTTCATAGGTTTGTAATCGATTGCAAACAAGTGCAATGGTCAATTGGGGCCAGTATTTGAAACAAAGCCAGTTGTTTCCAACGCTGATCGGCCGATCAGCGTTGGAAATTGATACAAAAATACCACTTTTCTTGAAAATGACAGTATACCAGGTGCCATAATTTTACAGGATGCTTTAGACTGTCATTTACCAACATCCTATTAAGGTATTTCGCAAAACCTTGGTAGTTTAATTCTTCGATGTTTGCAAATGTTGTATATTCCCTTTAAACACTGTATACTCAGTGTGTTACCTCCCGAGTGAAAGTTGGAAAAAAAATTCCATCTTATAATAGTTTATGCGGTACCCGCTGCTATGTACATCAGATTCGAACCAGCCAGCTGATCCCATTAGCTCGGTGATTGAGTGATAAAACATCTGCACTAGAAAGCAGGAGGTCGTGGGTTCGAGTCCCACCCGAGTGATTTTTTCAACTTTCACTCGGGAGGTAACACACTGAGTATACAGTGTTTAAACCTCGGTGAAGGGCAAAAGCTTTGATTTATATCACCCTGGCGCAAAAAAATCCATCTTATAAAAATTCCTTTAGCCGATTAGGAATTTGATTGACTATATTTGATTTGTATCACCCCGGCGCAAAAAAATTCCATCTTATAATAATTGCATCTTATTATATTTCAGTTCCTTTAAATTTTTTTTTAGTATTGTGTATTGTTATTTCTTTTACCACAGGCTAGTATGGGATTACCACTCAACCCCAAGCCCTTCCTCAACGGGCTGACGGGCAAGCCAGTCATGGTCAAACTCAAGTGGGGTATGGAGTACAAAGGCTACCTGGTCTCTGTGGACGGCTACATGAACCTTCAGGTAAGACCACTTTCTGCTTCGTCATTTCTGTGGTCCTGCTATTTTATAGCGTCAACAAAGCATCAACAAACATGATCAGCGTTCCTTCAGAATCACACCATTTGGTTTAGCAGGATTTTTGGACAGTTAATTTGCCAATGTTTTCCTTCACAACGGGAGATTTTAGAGGATTCAGGACAGTTTCCTGTGAAAATACATCTAGTTAGGGTTAAAGAGAACCACTCTTTATATTTGAAGACTATTTTTTCAACAATCACTCAGCGTAGTGATCATTGGGAAAATACTTTTAGAAATCCTTTTTTTTCTTGAAAATGGCAGCATACAGGTGCAACTGCCTTTTGAGATGAAAAGAAATCTGACAGAATAGTGCATTTCAAGTTAAAAAAAACACACCTTATTTGCATTGAAATACATTTCTTGTGTCTTTTTGTTTCTATCCCAGCTTGCAAACACAGAGGAGTATATTGATAGTGTATTTCAGGGAAACCTCGGTGAAGTTCTGATCAGGTGAGTTCTATTCTTCGGTTTCGAAAAAAAAAACACAGTTGTTTGAATATTCAGAACATGTACATGTACCTGTACAACACACCATAAGCAAGGGTACAAGTACAGTGTAAGCGATGCAAGCTAGCTTGCCTGTGCTTTGTCTCAGGGATTGTCAAGGTTTAAAGGTAGAGTACAGTAAACTCCAGCTAAACCGACATCGTACAACTCGTCAAATCGCTCAAGTCGGCCGTCTGACTAGAGTCCCGATTGTCCGTAATGCATTTCCATTGATTGTTTTATTTCTAAGTCGGCTTTAATATGTCGCCATTTCGCTCAAGTCGTCGTGTTACTCTCGGTCCCCATTTTATAAAAAGCATTACGAAATCCGTTGTGTAAGTCGGCATTCAACAAATCACACATTGGCATCGACTTCCTGTACTGCGGTTGGCAAAGTGTCGAGTGAAAGTGGTTTCGCACGGCCCGTGATCCTTGCATGCATCGGTGTCGAAAAAGGGTGTCCTACTGCATACATCGCATATGCATTGTGAGCATATCAATACATGTACCAGTACCCCCGCTAGGCTGTACGCATGCGCTCTGTCCATTTTGGGGGTCGTCTTATTGAATGACTACTGCTGCAGTCAATGTGGGCTTGGTATATACCGGACCACGCACGCATTTAATTCGTTACTGGGCACGTGCATATGTATCGTGGTCTCGACTATCAATACCCCAAACGTGATGACACAAGTCGAGGATTAATTTGCTGGATTCAACTCAAGCATTAAGGAGATAATCCAGGGTAAATCAAAGCCAATTAGTGCAATGAATCATGTGCGCAAAAGACCATTCATGTAAGTCGGCAAAATGACGACTTATAGCATATATCGGCATTCGCATAAGTCGTCACAAATTCTCGGGTCCCGAGAGTTCTGGTTTAGCCGGAGTTTACTGTATATCAGTTGTCATTTACAAGTGAATTTTTTTCGTTTGAAGAAACAAAACAGCTCAAAATCTAAAGAAGGTTTTTTAAACCTGATGAGGTTTATCACATCCCTGTGTGAATTGTTTTCGTTTTGCTGAAAGAACACTTACTTTTTTATTTGTGGTCTGTGGACAGAACTTTAAAATGGTGGTTGCATTTAAAAATTCGTAGCTTGAAAATACATGAGTGATTTGAATGATTCTTGTACTAGAAGAAAGCACATAGATTGGGCTTTCATATCCTAGATTTTATAATGCTACTTGCAGAACTTCATATAAAAAAATGGTCCTGCCATTTCGGTTTCCTTTTTTTCTACTCACCCTGCATATGAATTGAGAGAAAAATAGGCGATTTGGGTATTTGACGATCAAATATTTGAATGTTTGGTGTATTCGACGCAGCCCTAGAAATCAGCATGTCACTGTGTGCATTGTAAAATGTACGCAGGCCTTGAAGATATGTACATAGTGATCACCCGCTTTTATTGTCTTTCGATGGACAGATGTAACAATGTGATGTACGTGAGAGGCGTCGAAGAGGAAGAGGAAGATGGCGAGATGAGAGAATGACAGGCAGGTGCCATGGCAACCAGAGGAGATTCAGCACTACCGTCATCATCCTAGGATTTCCTCGTAGTATTTGGGCCCAATTTCACGGAGCTGATTAGCATAAGTTCCTGCTAAGCGATTTGATGTACTGAGCACAAATCTGACAAAAATCTACTGGTAGATTACTGACAGTTTCAGCTGGTGACTGGTTTTTGCAAAGCAACTGTTTTCTCTGCATACAACGTGTAGTAGTTTTTTGTCATCTACGTTGGCTGTTATTTTGGGCGAAGACTGTTTTGTTTGTTTTTCTAAGCAAATGTTAACTCTGCTTATTGGATTTTCTAAGTAGGTCTGTGAAATTGGGCCCCATGCTATGTGTTGCTTCCGTTAACTCTTTCAGTGCCAAAGTCGTACATGTACGAGGTATATTTGTTAGTTCGAAATTGCCAACCTCGTACATGTACGAGGTAATGTTCGTACTTAAAATCGCTAAACCTCGTACATGTACGAGGTAGAGTAAGCATGTTATCACAAGGGGGCGCTCTTGGTCTTTCTAATAATATCATTTTCATTCAGGTACGACCAGTATTTATTTGTTTCATTTGAGTTCTTGCGAGAGGGCGCAGCACTGACACTCGTATATTCTCTAAAATGTGCGGAATTCCCCTTTGTGCAGGACAGTGTTTTAGGGTGTATCACTATGTACATGTACGTGACTACTATTGACCAATATACCAATGATATACCAGAGAGCAACAACAACAAATTTAGTGAGTAAAACTTATTTACTTTTTTTTTACAGAATTTTGAACAATTAAAAAAACGCACTTATCAAATTTCGCGGGCACTGAAAGAGTTAACTGAACCAACATTCCCTATGAATCCAATGGGTTTTTGCCAGTGTGCATTTGAAGGTTGGAGGCATTCCACATACGCGAACAGTGCCAAAGTTGCTCAGGTTCACAACATTTTCTGTACATTATCCACTCCCTGTAGCAGGCATGCAACTGATTACAGTTGACTCCCTAATTTTGACTTCTCTTTTCTGCAATTTAGAATGGAAAACCAATGCAGAGAGTCTTGTTAAGCTTGGATTTTTTCTCTTATTTGTGACTGTATGTCTGCTGTAGGAATTCCTTCGAAAACTTGGCAACGATCCCAAAGTGGGGTGCATCAACGTTCCTCCAGTAAGCAGGTGTACCATGTGCATATGGAGTACCGAAGTGAATACGTCACCCGCACAAAATGTGTGTAAAAGAATTAGCGCGTGATTCAGCCCTAGAACCAACATGCGCATGTACTTCATTCGTTTACACTACACTTTCTCGTTCTAAATGACGTCACACTTCGGTACTCCATACAACGTAGATGATGATTACTTTTCATAATCTTTGTCAAAGATTTTTGATTATTTTCATAATTTTTGTCAAAGATTTTTGATGGGGATATTTTTTGTAAATATTGAACCTTTTTTAAAGGGGCGTTTTGTATGAACTTACATGTAGTTCCTGAGTACTGTATTGAAGAGTAGTGTTGAAATCGAGTCCATCACAAGTCCAGTCACAAGCTAAGTGATGAACTAAGAAAATGCGGAATAACTAAATATGAGAAATTATGAGCAGTTTTTGAAAAAGAACCCAGTTTTCTCCAACGCTGGTCGGCCGACCAGCGTTGGAAATTGATACAAAACTTCCACTTTGCTTAAAAATGTCAGCACACCAGGAGCCATGATTGTACAGTATGCTTTAGACTGTCATTCCCTAACAGTCCAGTAAAGAATTTCGTGGTAATTTGATCATTTTGTTTTTAGATGTTTGCAAATGTTGTATCTTCCCTTTAAGGTTGAAGAATTTGTGGTGGACTTGTTGTCGACTTGCAGAGACTTGTAGTGGACTCGACTACAGCAATGTGGAAGAGTGTTAGGAAAACTGCACTTGTTTTCTTTCCGTGTACTTCCTCACATAATCATGAATTAGCAATATATGGTATCATATCCCGACCACATTGTTGACTATTACACAAATTCACCTCAGAAACTGTGGGATATTTATTCTTATACAACGTTCTGAATAAATCCATGTCATCTGATTGGTTGGTTTGTTGATCACATGTCATTGAATTATTCATCCCAACCCATGGCCCGGCTGCATCGCAAAAATAGAAGTTCTATTCCATGGTATATAAAGCTTCCATTGCACGGTCACACTAGTGGCTCTGACTAATCAGATGACGAGGATTTATTCAGCTTTTGTATAAAACAAAAAATGAATGTTTCACATTCGTGCAATGGAAAGAATAATTTCATTAGGCGACAGATTGGATGTTCCACTCCGTCTGTCACCTCATGAAATTATTCTTACCATTGCACTCATAAACATTATAGATGATTACTGCTGTGCTGCATTAATTGTTTGGGATGAAACAACAGTAAACATGAGAACTCGATCCATACAAAGCTATGTACCTTTAATACCCGTGTGGTTACAACCCAATTTCATTTTACAGTTAGAATCGGTGTAATGTTACAGTTGACAAAAATGAGGAGAAATACCAAATGAAATTGTTTTCAATGATTATCAAATAAACCAGTGAGTCCATCAGAATCACATTGACAAGATTTGTTTTGTTATTATTCATGTAATTAGCAAGTCTTTGCATTCATTATTATCATAACGTTTGCTGTTCAGCATTCAAAATAAAACTTCCACCTTGTGTTTTATAAACAACATGCATGTTACATGTTCTCTTTTTCTTCGTATGTGTGAGAGCAGCAGCAGCAATTTGTTGTCAATGTGGGGAGGGGGCTGGGGGGGGGGGGGGGGGCGACCAGTAACTTGAAATCTATTAAACAAGCTGAGGAAAAGGTTGGGGGTAAGAGGTTGGATGCTACCTGACTCCTGGGGTCGCTGTTCAAATGTCTTGGAGTGAGTGTGTGCCCATGAGGCATCGTTTAAATAAGTACAAGCATGTGCGTATGTGGAAACGGGTCCCAGACGGACCGATTCAAAGATTAGATATAGGATTAGCCAGCGGAGGTTTTTTTTACCCCCCCCCCCACCCCATATTTTGTAGAGACTGCCCTTTTCCATTCAAAATGCCCTTTTTTCACCAGCGTTTACCCCCTCCTGATTTACAGTGTTGAAAACAAACCCGTAAATCCGTAATCCGTGGTTAGATTCGTCGTCCACGAATCGCGGAGCCCGGGTTCGAATCCCGCAGGTGTATTTTTTAACATACATGCTCAGTGATTTTCTATAATATATTTAATTTCCCGTCGTAAAACACCAACAGTACCTTAGCTTAATCGGTAAGCACTGCTGCTGGTACTGTCCGCGAATTCCAGTTTGTGCATCTTCGTACAGGTTCAGGGCACTTACTGACCACTCGGGGGCCAGGGCTTAGGGTGCCGCCCTGTTCCTCCCTTAGCTCCTTGCTTTTACATGGTGCCTGACCCTCATATGGATGGACAGGGAAGGAAGTGTGTATTGGCCGGGAACGCTGAGATCCCAGAAGAGCCCTAAGGGATTGCGATGGGGCATCGTTATGGCCCATCCAGTCCTTGAATGCTTGGCTAGCACATAACTTTTTGATTTTTTCAGCCTCTATTTTTTTTTACTTTGGTTCAGTTTGATATTTACATCTGCTCGGCAGGCTCCGGTAGTATTAAAAACGACATAAAGGTATATTTCATAACTCAATGAATATTTAATAATTGACTATAATCAAAATTAAATTTCGTTCGATCAATATGACTATAATTATTTTTTTTTTTATACATTTCCATTTGACCAAAAAAAACCCCCACAATGCACAATATACATCTTTCAAATAACGTTTTTTTGAATTGTGAACATTTCCAACAATATAGTAATTCGCAAAAAGGAAAAACGAAAGAAAACTATAAAGCCCCTCACACTCAAAACTGGACTAAAATTGAAAAACAAAGTCCAGCGGAACACAATTTACATTAAGGATTACATTTTCAAAAGTCATTACACGGGGCTTTATACAATTTACTGTGATTGACATGCAGGCGCGGATCCAGAGGTTTTTTTCGGGGGTGGTGGGGGGGGGGGGGGTCGAACCCCTCCCCTGCTCTGACACAACAAATTCAAGCTATTCTGCAGCGGTTATTAGGTATCTGACGGGCCTGAATCTAACGGGCCTGACCCCCCACCTCATGCTTCATGGATCACCTCGGGAGGCTAGTTTCACTACACCACGAGCTAAAGCAGGCCTTATTTTGTTTAATGCTCAAACTATCTCCCACTGCCTTCACCGGCACCCCAGCAAAAGTTCCTATGGATCCGCCTCTGACGTGAGTTGGTAAAGTTATATGGAATCATCACTATTTTGACCCAAATGAAGTTTCTGTAGGTCATGTAGAATGAAGATTGTTGCCCGAAATATCGACTTCTGAAATGATGTTGGAGGCCCCGGAGTGTGGGAAGCCGACGGGCTACGACCCAGCAGCTAAATAGGCAGCGTGATATCAGCCGATGGCTCATCCGTTTGCATTTTGACCCCTTGCAAACTTCATATGATGAATATAAACGACCTGCCAAAAGCGTGGATCACAACAGGCGAAATGGGCGTATCCAGAAATTTTCCTGGGGTGCGTGGGTTCATCAGCTAAAAAAAAAAAAAAAATATTAAATGTAGACTGGTTCCCCCCCCCCCGATCCTTTATTAAATGTGTGCTTAACAATGCAGTAGGCTATTTGATGATCTCTGAAAAATAGCTTCTGCATGCCTTGCATGCTGGATATTTTTTTGTTATTCCTTTTCCCGATATTTTTGGCGACTATTTACCCTTTAAAAACCTGCAGCTATAATTATGTCTTTATATCTAGGTCATGATAAGTTACCCAGAATGCCATCCAATAGGCGTAGAGCGGGGGGGGGGGGGGGGGAGGGGGTATTTCCCCCCCCCCCGCTAAAAAAAAAAAATGAGCGCGCACGCACATCTCCCTAAAAATTGTCCGTTTCGTGTGCATAATTATCAGTTTTGAACAACCGCCCTATCGAAAGATGGCCCCACCAACTATTTTATTTTACGGAGGCAAAGTGTCCTCAGAAAAAAAGTGTCTAAATTTCAGCACGGACTCGGATGTGCGAGTGCCCTTTACAAGAAATCCCCTCCTCCCGATACAAATGACCTACATCCTTTGACTTGGATATATTGGCATTGACAACAGAACCCAATTTTCACAATTCCTGCAAGGCTCATTCTGCCTTGACTACTGGAAAATATAACTGACCTATTTCTTTAATACGATATTTCACATGTTTTATTCAAGTTAGTAGAGAAGGGTCTCTGGACTACGGAAGACGGATAGTGCCACTCAATAAGTATGAATATATTTTTTTGGTACGTGTGAAAATATTTTTTTGTACAGCGTCCGCCACATAATAAGTGGCG